CCGCTTCTATTTTGATATAATAATTTACCAAAATCAGTGGCCTCGCCTTTAAAAATGTACGAACTTGATGTGGTTCAATTAATAGATGAAAAGTTAGAGATTCGAGAATTATCGGATCTTGTTGATTTAAAATTTATTTATATATGAAAGAAATTTTAAAATTTATGAAATAATTAATAAACTTTTTGCAAAAAAATTTTTTGTTTGTTCTCTATGATACTTTAGTTTTAATTGTGGTTGATTTTAAGTCAAGCATTTTACTGACGATTTATCAATTTTAGTAGATGTACTTGTACGAATCTAGCGGATTATGCGTTTATCTGTTTATTAAAGTGGTGTGAGAGACCACCTCTTTCCGTAATGGCGCGTGTCGGATGCTGCCTTGTACGATTGCTCGTAACTCGTATCGGGATAGATGGAAAAGTGCCTCTGTGTCGCCATCTCTGTACCCAGCTTCGAACGAAAGCGTCATTTCCTGCGTTTCTACGCCGGGAATGCATCTGGATGCAAAAAAATTTATTTATGTCAAATGTCAAATTAGGTAGAAAAATGAGATAATATAAATATTATTAAACGCAGAATTATATCAATTGTCATAAGATGTCACTGTTCAATTGGTGAAAAAACAAGGAAAAATATATCTATATTTGGCGCATTTAATGTACAGATTTAAAAAAGTGATACCAGACGGATATTTTTACATGATTGCTTATACATATGAAATGACGTTGAATGTACGAGACATCTGCCAACATACAATTTTGCTATTGGTTTCTTTCAGTTCGTATGAATCTCTTTCGAGTTCGTTTTTTTACGATAGCTTCCCATGTAAAAGTTTTATTCGTTAAATACGTTGCAACATTGCTTTCGCGTTCGTAAAGAATTGCATATTTGCTCTAACGAAGAATAACACCCTTTTCCTCTTTTCTCTCTGCCGAGCTTTTAGTAACTACTTTTAGTTGTTCGAGAAGCCGTCTTCTTCTGCCGCATGTGTACCACCCACCCCTACAATTCTCTCGCTCACTCTTTAGGAGTCTGCAACCATCCCCGCTGAAACCGCAAGCCCCCTTCACCCGCCCTTCGCTCTCACACCACGTAGCTACTAACCGTTCAGGAAATGTTTATTCTGGCCTTTTACGGAGTGTTCCAAAGGATTTTTGGATTTTGTTCGTCCCCGCAATTTGAAAGTCAATGACTTCTTCTCCCTTGAAGTCCTCTACGACTTCTTTGATATTGAATTCGTTTACTCTTCCAGATTATCTTAATATCTTTTTATACGCCGTAAGATTATTTTTGACCTTCCTTGACCAATAATTGACCTTCTCTTCCAAATCTCGATCAATGTCATAATTGCCGAAATTTCTGAGATACAATAGACGAGAATGATTTAAATTAGAATTTGCTCTTAAATTTTGTTTTCGATTCAAGAAAGGGTGCTTCATTCTTAAAGATTTAGAGAGATCATGATTCGGTTTTGTTTTACAAAAAATTTGTGCTCTTTACGTATTTGTTTCTTTATTCGTTATTATGAAATTCTAACAGTGACATACGTTTATGAACGAGCTGAAAGCCGTCTGGTGTCTTCGAGAATGGGAGTTCTCCGGCGATCTTAGCTCTTGCAGGGAGAAGAGAATGTGGATGCCGCCAGTGGGCTGGTCAGGCCACAGCACCGCCCCTTGACTCGACTTACTTTTGCCATCTTGCCTCCGATTCTGCGGTTAGCCCCACTTCGACCAGAAACCAGGGAAGCTGGCTTGTATCCGTCGGTCGCAAATCGGCCTCACGGATCGGACACAATGTATGATTGACAGGAAACGTCATTTTTTTCTAGGTCAAGTTATAATTTCGAACGTTTCAAAACAATATATTTTTAACGTGCCCAATAAACAATGTTACAGAAAATTTTATTGCTATTCAAAATCGTTCTTTTGTGTCACTTTTATATATATATATATATATATATATATATATATATATATATTATATATTATCTATACTATATTATATGTGTGTGTGTGTGTGTGTGTGTGTGTGTGTGTGTGTGTGTGTGTGTGTGTGTGTGTGTGTGTGTGTGTGTGTGTGTAAACATCATTTTAATTTTAAAGAATATTGAAAAGAGGTTATTTTTAATTCGATCAACAATAATATTAAATATATATATGTAAATAAATATATGTACAAATAAGTATTAACATACGAGATGATTGAATAATGCATTTAACGATATGCTATTTAGGTAGAAATGAAACAAAAGCTATCGCTTTGATTCGCTGACACGGAATGCTATGTAATGATATTTTTCTTTCCATCCAATGACCAGGAATCGATGTGGGTATGTCGTGTGTATGCGTTTATTCAACGACGTTGTTTCGCCAAGCTTTCGATCAATGATGCATTTTCATTACGCGATTCGGGCTTTCCGCCGGGTATCATGCACAATAATAGAGATATTTTTAGCCTCACACATATACGTAAAGTATATATTCAGTTTTAACTTATGCGACAGGGATATTATTTCTTCCAAACTTTACATCAACTTTTATGTACGAGCTTGCATATAAAATAATATTATTTAAATAACATATATGACATATTTTTATTCGCGTGCGTCTATAAAGATAAATTTTGCAAAATCGCTAATAATATATTTAGATCTTTTATTTTAATTGCGAAAAATGTACTTAGTAGTACAATGTCTACACAATATCAATCATGTTTATTATTTTTTTTTATTGGAATAAGATTTTTCAAAATTGAAAAAAAAAACTGGAAATTATTAATTTTTATTTTTAATTTTCCTGCGTCAAATCGGGCCATGGAATTGGCAGGTGGAAGGACATTGCGCGCTTTAGCCTGTCCAATATTCATCGGCTTGAGTGCCACGACGAAAAGAGAATCAAGGGTAACGAGGGTGCAGAAAATCAGCCGTCCTGCCGTGCCCCGTCATTCGGTCGGTGCAGCGCGGCATGTGGAACGCAGCGCGCGCGGCCATAATAATAATTTTTACAAGCCCGCGTGTAATCAAGGCTGCGCGTTACACATGTTCTGTCCGTGGGCGCCCCCTACTCACGGCACGTACGACCCCCCTCGCCGGCATCGTAGGGGTGGCTACGGCATGTAGTAGGGGCGGCCATTCGCGAGAGGGGGGCGAAGAGGAGAAATGGGGAGGGGAACGAGTTGGGGTGCCAGTGGGGTGGCTCGTGGATGGCAAGGAGAGGAGATCGACGCGCGGAACCGAGACGGAGTACAGTCAGGGTTGGTGGCGGGGTGTAGATGGGGTAAAGGGAGTGGTTGGCAGGGATGACGCGGAGGGGGGTTCGGCGAGGGGGTGGTGTAGTATTCACGCGGCACGATCGCTGGTGCTGCTGCTGCTGCTGCTGTTGTTGCTGCTGCTTCTGCTAGCGCCCCGGTCTGCCGTTCTTCGCGTATTGTTGTCCAATCGAGCGTACCGACGAACCGGTTTTCGAGTCGGACCACACACGCCAATATCGCTCGCACGGTATGGCACGAGCTTTTTTTGGGTGGGCGGTCATTGAACAACGGGATGTTATTGGTCGATCGCCGTGACACATGCCCGCGTGCATTGGGATCGGGAGATCTGGTGACGTTGCTATTTATTTCGCGGCGATTTTACCAACGAGTCGCGATACTCTCGCGCGATCGTAGATTATCGGATCCGCATCGATTAGCATGACTATAGATCTTTAGCTGGTGTCATTCGTTTTTTTTTTTTTTTTTATCATAGATCGGCAAATGTGATATAATAGTTTGATCCTTCGAACGTCATTGCATTATACGTGTTGTGTATTGGATTTTATTTGGTGGATTGGTTTTTTTTTTTTTTTTTTATTATTATCTACTTGTCATTTTCATGGTGCTCAAGTGAACGCGTAACGATAATCGTAACTTTTTTTTTAAACGATCGTTGTACATACGATCGTTCGATCGAGGCTACAATAATTCTTTGCAATGTCCGCGCGATAATTGTTCGTTTTTCCTGCCACGTGTTCGTGCTTGGATCCGAAGATCGGCGTGGACGAACAGTGTTATCATCGATTGATTGTGGTCTCCTGTAAAACCCATCAAGCTTTGATGGGGTTGTCACGTGTCGGTGGGACGTTTGTGAGCTCGAGAGTCATCGTGGAGCGAAGAGTGTCGTGCTGGAATTGACTAGTCAGAATCTGCGGTGAATGATGGTTCTTTCGATCGATTGCAGCTTATGGCAACGTGCCGAAAGACACGACCATATTCGATTTATCCGAAAAGGGGGACTCTCATTTCAAAATACAAAAAATTAAGTGAGTATAATATTAAGTGAGTATAATATTATACTAGAAATGTGTGATGAGAATATCAAAGCACGGTTGCCAGGCATTATTTCATTTTGTAATACAAGCTTTTTAATCAGATGATCACGTTTATACCATAATACGTATATCCCATAATAAATTCTCATTAAGTTAATTTGTCATTGCATACGGATGCGAGATTGTAAACAGTACGCGTAGGCAAATAGATATTCATATTTTATTTCCTAGACACATGTAGAGACATCAGTATTTGCGATCAACAATTGTGTCGATAGTGCGGCTTATTAATTAATTAACGTCCTTCAATGCATTGCCATACGTTGTCGAGAAATGAATTCTGCAGCCTCACGATTATGTATCTAAGAACAGAAAAACCTGAAATGATATATACCAATTCTTTTTTATAAAATATTGAAGCAATCAGATTAGTTTAATGTTTGATAAAAATATATTTTTATCACGAATAAATAAATAAAAAGAAAAAAAAAGTGATCTTAAATAAGACACCTAAATATTGATAAAATACACAAAGGGGACTTTACGTTATATAATTATCGTTGTATCTTGCTATACTATACTCGTCATGGTGTTCAGAATTGCGATCATCTTACCTCTTTTCTACAAGCTCAAATTTGAAATTGTGAAACGACGGGAGGATTTGCGGATTTAAACGCGCGGGCAAAGAAAGACGGTGCTCGCGGAATAGCGAAGTACCTGGTTTGCCATGCCCGGCAGTTGATCGGAGCGTGACGAGCGGTAATTGAATGTAGGTATGGCATTTGCATTGACAAGCTCCAACAGAGATAATTCGAATCTCGTCGAACGCAACGGTCCACACGGGCGTTAGGTCGTTTGTCAATACGACGGCGGCCGTCCAGTTTCCACGTTTCCAGCGGTATCGCTGTTTGTCACCGTCTCGTCGGTGATCGTTCGCCACTGAATACACCCGGTGCATACTTCTGCGCGTTTCGTTTCGTTTCGTTTCGTTTCGTTTCGCGAGCCGCGCCGTTAAACGTCAAACACGGCGGCAAACCGCCCGAAGAATATTACCGGCCGATCGTCGCCGATAAATTGTTCTGCCTCTTCTCTGAAGACGAGAAAAAAAAAAAATGAAGAAAAGAACTTTACCTTAAGATTTTTCATTCGATTTCAATCTTACTTTAGTTTGAATTTGATCGGCCGCCGATTACAAAAATTTTCATAACGGAATAATACAAGTGCACTGAAAAAAATAAAAATTCGTCAAAAAAGGTTCGAGTTTTACGCTGTTTTTTTTTTGTAAATAAAAAAAATTGCATTTTTCTCCGATAAAGTTTTTAATTTAAACGTTGTTTCGTGACGTGCGATATAAGAACGCTAAAATTAATGCGGAAAAAAAATCTTAACTTTGTGGATTTTCTATAAGTGGATCCGTACATATCCGTAGAACCTCGAGTGTTTGCCTGCCGGCAGGTTCGCGACCGGTTGGATATCGTCAGGATATATTCGCGCAGGAAATGGGTAGTTCCATTGTTTGCACATTCGTACAAACAGTGCAACTGCGAGGATGCGCCGGGACCTCTGTTTGATTTTCGAAAGTGAAGCTTCATTGTACGAGATACTGGCGTAGTACGAGTGTGTTCCCGTTGCATATGAAACAACGATGCGTTTCGGAGGAAAAAAAAATTGCAGTTCTCGATTGAAAGGAGCGATCGATGATCGCAGTCGAAACTGCGCGGATGATATTTTCATCGACTTTCGTGCGATACCGATACGTACGGATGCCGGAAATTTCGCACGTTACGCAAATTCAAACATCGGGCTTGACGTGATTAATTCCGCGGAAAACTTTTGCTCGGGGGGAGGGGGGGGGGAGCCTAATTGGAAGTATCGAGGTGTTGCAACACAGATCGCGAGTTACGCACGTGAAAGAAGAGAAAAATGTACGCACGCGCGCACACACAAGCCGTAACGGAGAAAATCGGGGTTCGATAGATCGATCGAAGGCACCCACCGGCTCTCCACCGATGTCCAGCACGCGAGCCGTACCGCAAAAGGGTTGAGGGGGAAAGAGAGCGTGTGGGAGAGCGAGAGAGTGCCGAAAGAGAAAGAGAGCTGCCGTCGCGAGAGGGAGAGAGATCGGGTCCGGTGGGAGATAAAGCGATAAAGAGCGACGTGCGCGCGAGAGAAAGAGGTTACGTGCGAGACGGAATGAGGGACGGAAAGAGAGGGAGAGGAAGAGGACGAGGGAGGGAGGGAGGGAGGGAGGGAGAGAGAGAGAGAGAGAGAGAGAGAGAGAGAGAGAGAGAGAGAGAGAGAGAGAGAGAGAGAGAGAGAGAGAGAGAGAGAGAGAGAGAGAGAGAGAGAGAGAGAG